GAGACCCTGGCATGGGTTGCCCAGGGAGGGGGTTGAGGCCCCATCCCTGGGGGTCTTTAAGGCCAGGCTGGAGGAGGCTCTGGGCAGCCTGATCTTGTGGGAGGTGTCCCTGCTCATGGCAGAGGGGTTGGAACTGGGGGATCCTTGTGGTCCCTTCCAACCCTGACAGATTCTGATCTGTTTTAGCAGAGGCCTTTAGAGCCCTAATGGCTCAATGGTTGGACTTGATGATCTTGGAGGTCCCTTCCAGCCTAAATGATTCTAAGATTCTAAGACTATTTCCACACCCAAACGCAGCAACTTATTGTCCCCACGAACCCCCACGACGCTGTGAAACCCCACCCCGAGCAGTCTGCAACTCACCTTCATGCCCACGAGGTTATTGTGGAAGTCCACCCTGGCTCGCAGGTCTTTGTTGGGCTTCCTCCCCAGGAACTCCTTGACGAACTTGTTGCTGTATTTCAGGTTGTCACCACAGCCACCCCACTGCCAAGCCTCACGGTTCTCCAGGTCTGGGGCCTCGTCGCAGGTGCAACGTTCCATCCTCCCTGCACTGCACGCCTTGGCCATGGCGTGGGTCAGCCCTGCAGAGGAGATGGCGTACAAGAAGGCTGTCTCCTTAAAACCTGCAGGAGAAAGGAGGAGGAGACTGTTAAAAATCGTTCCAGCTCCAATTAAAAAGAGGAAATCAAGGCAAAGCCCGTTGGGAGAAGATTTTGAGGGATTTCAAAGCATGCCGAGCTCTACGGGCATCACTGATGGTGGAGAGGACACAGTGGAGGGCAAGGAATGATGGGTAGAGGTGGCACAAGCCAGGATTCAAGAATGCAAATGAAATCTGGCCAGTTCTGTGGCTGTCACTCCAGAAAACAAAGAGGTGAGCAAGAGTGGGACAGGCCACGGAGGTGCCACCACCGTGGTACAGCAATGCTGCTACCAAGGGGACACCAAATAGAAGGAATCCAACACAGACTTCCAGGCTGATGGTTGGGGTAGAAACCATAAGAGCTCCTTGTTTTTCCCCTCTCTTAACAAAAAAAATCACTGGATCCTACTCCAGTCCATCAAAACAGAAGGCACCCAAGGGTTGTGAAGCACACAGTAGCCTGTCACCCAAGGCAGCACCTCACTCAAACACCTCAAAAATCAGTTTACACCTCAGATCTTTCACACACAACCCTTTTTTTTACACTTCCATGCTCACCTGCAGGGATGTGACAGCATCTGCTCCCCCCAACAGGTAAACTGAGGCCCAGAGAGACCCACGATTTCAATCCAAAGGAGAAAAAAACCCAAATAAAAAAGCAAACATGGCAGTATTTATAGCTCCTCATTCTCCAGCTCTGGAAGCCATAAACGACTGCATATTTGAGATGCAATTCCAGAACAGCTTTGGATCCAACTCAAGAAATCCCCCACTCAAAAATAACACAAGTGGATGGTGACAGTAGTGGATATATCTGTACGCTGGTGTGTCAACCAAGGACATGCAGAGATGCTGCCAGGTCATTTTTGGAACTGTTCCTTGGGAGGTTCATGGTAGTCCAAGCAAGCTCCTGGGGCTCTACCTTGGCCCATCCCCAGAGCCCTCCTTCCCAAAGCATTCCCAGGTGGACGACGTTGGACTTCAGCAGAAGATTGATGAAAATCCAGGCCAGGAGACTGAGGTTGGGTCCTCCCAAAGGAGCTGACTCCAACCAGATTGTAGGAAAAATCATCCAATCCTTCTACTGCCTACTTGGAAAAGAAGAGCAGGAGACTTTCCCTCCCTGGAAGGAAGGTTAAAAGAAAAAGGTTCAACTCCACACTTGCTGAGGACTCTAAGGAGTGTTCAGGGTTGAGAAACAAAATTTGGGTTTTTTTCCCACCTATTTAATCCTTGAAGTTACACCATGTCCTCTGGGACCTCAGAAGCATCTCCAGCATTGCAAACCCTCTCACTGGGAGTGGTGGGAGAATTCTTTACTGAACAAAAACTCACATGTATGCTGACCACTGAAATCCTTTGGGTAGAAAACACCTTCTGAGCAGCTTTCATCTTTTGTAGCCTAGTTCAGCTTTTTCTAAGATTATACCCTAGGTCAGACTGCCACCATACTTGTCAGAGGGATGCCCTTGCTAGAGACAGATGCTCCTAAAGCTCCATGCCCTTGGATTGTAGAATTGGGTTTTGGCCAACCCTACTACTTGTGCTACAAAAATGAAGAAGTCTCAGTGTGCTAGCAAAGTTCTGGATGGAATAAGGCCCAGAAACACTCCTCTAAGAGACCTTTTTTACTGCAACTAGCAGGAAGAAGCTTGGATGTGGTCTTGTTTAGTAGATATCCCAGCTCTACAACCTCCTTGAAGGCCTCCTGGTTTGAAGCACCGAACGCAACCTCAGCCACAAGCCAACGCTGTGCAACCACAATGCCCAACCAGGTTTGACAGCGAGCCAGGAGGTTCATTTGCCAGGTCCTCCTCCTTCATCCATCCCTCTCCCCATCAGCTTCAGCTCTACTCCTCCCATTCTCCATCCCTGAAAGCTTCACAGATTCCCAGTGCCCATCAGCACGGGTATCATCTCACCCCCAGGCAGCTCGGGCAGCTTCCAAGCAACTCCATGTGACATTTGGCTCTGGCCAGATTTAAAGCCATCCTCTTGCCACGCACTATTTGATTGCACCAAGATATTTTGTAACAAGATAATGAGCTTTAAATCAATGCAGGCATTCTAACCCCCGGTGCATCGACAGCCTGCCGGCCCTGGCTATCCAGTTTCAGGCATTTCCAAAATTGTTTGCGAGGACCCAGGGAGGATAACAAGTCCCTCAAACAATCCCCTGTTATTTTAAGAACTGGGGTCCATCAGCCCAAGCTGTTGTGGTGACCAAGTGTTAAAAAAAATAGGGGGAGAAATATTTCTGAAAGGGATTTTTTTGGGGTGTTTTATTCCTTTTTTTTCCCTCTCCTAAAAAACGGTCCTGGAGGAGAGGAACAAGCCCACACCAACATATTTGTGTCTTAGTGGGTGATACATGGGTTCCTTTGCCCTTGGGTATCACTTGCTGCAACGCTGAACCAGGAACCAGCAGCTCCTGGAGTGGAGGAGAAAGATTTACAGGGCAGGGTGTTATGCTGCAGGACCAACGTCTGAAGGATTTACAGCATCGCTGGAGGGCAGAGATGTTGCAAGGGCATAAAACATGGAAGAATGAGACAACAGGCAGAGCTTTGCAACCCTCAGAGCTCCCATTTATTACCCGGGGTCCTGACAAGGAGTAGGGGAGGGTTGAGGGGCTCTTGGTGGTGGTTTAAGGCAGCTTAACTTCAGGCAGCTTTGAAATGCCCCTTGCTGGGGTAGGCAGATCTGAAGGAACAAGTTGTGGCCTCCAGGTGTCAGCATGAGAAAGTGCTTGGCCTCCAAGGCACCACTCACCCGAGGACTTCTCTGGCATGTGGGGTTATTTTTAAACGTCTTGCAGCTCTGGCTGGACCTCTTGGGTTTCATAAGGACTTTCCTTGTTTCCATCACAGCCAGTGACAGTGCATTCGTTAAGCCCCAGAGCTTCTGAATTACTCCTCCTCACTAATTAGCAAGGGAAGGAGCTTTGCAAGCTTCTGCTCTTCTCTTTGAGCACATCGGGCCCTGGGTTTCTAAGTCCAGCTCCATCACCCAGTGTGGGACTTTCTGGAAGTCCTTAAAGACCTCAAGACTCACACAAGCTAAGTGGAAAATGCTCTTGTTGCACTGTTAGCTGCAGTCCAGAGATGAGAACTGGGTTGTACTGGGAGGGTGCAGGAAACTGGACTATGAGGTGCAAAGGGAGGAGATAAAAATACCACCCAGGCCTCCAATACTCTCAGCTTCTGGCCATCTCCACTTGAGCTGCTGGGAAGATGTGTGGGAATAACCCACCACTCCTATCCAGAGAGGTTTTTCCCTTGGGTAGGGCACTAACAGGACACACAAACATTTGTACAGGTTTGTCCTGCAGTAGGACAGGGCTCTCCTTGACCCCACCAACAGGAGAACACCATTCTCCCTTATTTCCCTTAACAAGGCATTTTCTCAATTTCTTTCCTGAAAAGTTGACATAAGAAATAAGAAAACCCAAGTTTTAGGAACTTCAACACCTTCTCCCCCAGCAGCAGCTCAGCTTCCAGCAGAAGTGAGGACTAACTGTAGCTACTGGCTGCAGACACACACCCAAACATCTCCAGCTGCCAAGGAGAGGAGCCATGGCCAATGGGAAGCAGAGTGTTGCTTCACTAGTACAACAACAAAAATTACCACCATACAGCACATCCTTCTACCGTGCACTGTCATGGATGAGTTGAGCATGGCTGGTGTCTCTAGAGTGGTGAGGGATTGGCCCAGGCTGCCCAGGGGGGGTGGTGGAGTCCTCAACCCTGGAGGGGTTCAGAAAACATGCAGACATGGCCCTTGGGGAGATAGTTTAATGGCCATGGGAGTGTTGGGTTGATGACTGGACTTGATGAACATAGAATGTCTGGGCTGGAAGGACCTCCAAAGGTCATCCAGTCCAACCCCCCTGCCATAAGCAGGGACATCTCCAACTAGATCAAACTACTCAGAGCTTCCTCCAGCCTGACCTTGAATGTCCCCAGGGATGGAACCTCCACCACCTGTCTGGGCAACCTATTCCAGTGACCTATCACCCTCATGTGATCCTAGAGGTCTTTTCCAACCTTCATGATTCTATGTGCCTCCTCCAAACCCTTTTTGACCCTCTGGAGCCGCGATGACCCATCACTAGCAGAGGACGCAGCAGGACACCCGCTCTCCAAACCCCACAGGCACAGGGGAGGACCAGCACCCCCTGGAGGGTCCCATCCTGCTCACCTCTCTTGAGCAAGCTGGCCCGGTAGCGACCCTCGAGGGTGCAGTTCCAGCGCTCGAAGCGGAACTGGTACTGGCACTCCAGGGCACTCATGCTGATGGCCTCCATCAGGGTCTCGGCCACGCCGGGGTCCCGCCGGCACATCCTACGTTGCTTCTTCTCCAGCTTCAAGCGGTCACAGACTTTGTAGTGGGCTTTGATGGCAGCTTCCTCCATTTCTGAGGTCAGAGGGAGGATGGTCAGGGGTTCGTTCCCCGTCAGCCTGCAGAGGAACGGAGGGAGAAGGGTTGAGGGGAGAGGAATAGAAGCCCGTGGTAGGAATGGGGGCCATGGTTGAGTCTTTCCCTGGTTGAGGAGTGATTTTACATGGAACAGGCAGAAGAGAAGAAGGGCGAGAAGCAATAGAATCATAGAATCCTTTAGGTTGGAAGGGACCTTCAAGATCATCAAGTCCAACCATTGAGCCATTAGGGCTCTCAAGTCCTCTGCTAAAACAGATCAGAATCTGTCAGGGTTGGAAGGGACCACAAGGATCCCCCAGTTCCAACCCCTCTGCCATGAGCAGGGACACCTCCCACTAGCTCAGGCTGCCCAGAGCCTCCTCCAGCCTGGCCTTAAAGACCCCCAGGGATGGGGCCTCAACCCCCTCCCTGGGCAACCCATCCCAGGGTCTCACCACTCTCATGGGGAAGAACTTCTTCCTCACATCCAGCCTGAATCTGCCCACTGCCAGCTTTGCCCCATTCCCGCTAGTTCTGTTGTTACTTGAGATCCTAAAAAGTCCCTCCCCAGCCTTCTTGTAGTCCCCCTAAGATACTGGAAGGCCACAATAAGGTCACCTCGGAGCCTTCTCAATAGGTGGATTTATGGTCTCTACTGGCTTGTGTGGACACAAGACTTGGACATTCTCCACCACAGAGAGCACTGCAGTCACTCTCCTGGGTGTAAACCAACAAAAAACCCAACACAACTCCTTTTAGCACAGCCAGCAGAGCCAGCATTGACTTGGGAAGGGCTAGAGGACGATTCATCCCACCAGGTCCCAAGAGGGACACCAAGAAAGCACATACAGCCACCCTGCCCTCAGCAGAAGAGGTCCTGACAGAGCACCTAGCAAGCCACAGCCTAGGAGCAGGACACACTTTCCAGGCAGCCCTGCCAGAAGGTTTCACTAGACAGAACAAGCTCAAAACCTAAAACATGACCTGAAGAACTCCACGTCCCGTTGCCTTCTCCAAGCACAAGGTCCTTGACTCGTCCAATGTGCAACAAAAGAAGCCAGCGTGCTGTTCCCAGTGTCAAGTGACGAGCTGCTGGAAAAGGACCAGCCTGGCACCAGCCCCAGGGAGCTGAGAGGCTGGAGGAACATCTGCTGGGCTCATGAGTCGTTTGTTGGCCAGGCTGCCCACACCCCACTCTCCTGGCTCTGCCCTTTTCCGGCCAGGTGCCAGTCCACACAGCCCATGGGAACCACTCTGCAGGGCTCTGAAGGACCTGAAGACACATTTCTCCAGCCAAAAAAAAAAGGAAGAATGGCTTCGAGGCAGAACTAAAACCAGGCTGGAACGTTGCAATCCTGCCCAGAGCAGCATGGGGATGGGGGGCAGGCTTGGGCATCTCCATCGCTGCAGGACCACCAGGGGAAGGGGGTGATGGGACCACACACTCACCCCCTCTCTGAACAGAATAAGTCCTGGGAACCCTTTAAAACCTCACCCCTCCTGCAGCAGCAGGGGTTGGTTTCTTCTTTCAATGAGGATTTCTCTCCCATCCATGGGATTCATCCTGCCAGGAGCACAGACCCCCAAGGACAGGCAGAGAGGATGGTTTAAATCCCAAAATTCCTTGCACAATGGGCACAAAATCCTGGTCTGAACCCCTGCCAGTGGCTTCCAGGTACAGATCCAGTCATTTGTTCAGCCTGGAGAAGAGAAGGCTCTGGGAAGACCTTACTGCAGCCTTCCAGTGTTTAAAAGGGGCCTGTCAGGGAGATGGAGACAATTTTTTGAGCAGGGCTTGTTGGGATAGGACAAAGGGGGATGGTTTGAAAGTCAACGAGGGGAGATTTAGACTAGAGAGAAGAAACTTTTCACAGTGAGGGTGGTGAGCCCCTGGCCCATGTTGCCCAGAGAAGGGGTTGATGCCCCATTCCTGGAAACATCTAATGTCAAGTTGGTTTGGGCTCTGAGCAACCTGCTCTGGTTGCAGATATCCCTGCTCCCTGCAGGGGGGTTGGATGAGAAGACCTTGAAGGGTCCCTTCCAACCCAAACCATTCCATGATTACTGATGATTTGACAAAGTCATTTAACATCAGATGTCTAAAGGAGGAAGAAAAAAAAAGTCTGGGCTTGGATTTCTAGAAGAACAAAGAGAAATGTTCTCCTTCAGTTACCTTCAAAAGTAATAGGATTTCCAGAGATAAAAATGGTAAAATTTTACTGGAAAATCAGATTAACAGTGTAAATTTAAGGAAAAAAAAAAAAATCCCCAAATTCTGCTCCCCAAAAATGATTAAAACACCCAAGCTCCATCTTTTGCCAAGAAAGGTTGGGCTAGATGATCCCTGAGGTCCCTCCCAACCTGGTATTCTATCATTCTATGGTCTGAAGCACTGAGAAAGGTTAACTCTACGTTTTGCTTTGTCCAGTGGGACAGTGTGGACTCGGTCTCAGCTCCTCCTCGAGGAGACAGGACATCACCAAGGCCTGGTACCTTGTTAACCAAAGCTCTGAGTAGGCCCATTCATTGGAAAGGTGCCTTAGTTTGAGCTCCACAGCAGCAGAAACCTGTAACAAAATCTCCAGGACATTCAAGCCTGGCCTCCATCAATGCTTCTGCTCTGAAGGTTCATTCCTGCAAGCTCTCACAGTTGGCACGAGATCCCCTCAGCTGGCAAAGAGGACAGAGGGAAGCATAAAAGCATTTTCTACAGCTCCCCCTCCCCAGTTTCCCTTTCTCACTGAGCAGGTACTGTTCAGTTAAACGTTCTGGAAAACACAAGCTCCTAGTATCATGTGGCAGATGGCTATCACGGTGAGGAGGGATCCAGGAATTGATCCCATGGCCAAGATTTCTGCAGAGCAATTGGGGATTTCAAACCCATTCCCCACCCTCCCCTTGAAGTGCTTGGCTTTGAGATACTTCAAGGGATGGTTTCTTCACAGATCAGCCTTGCAAAATTTGTTGGTACCACAGCCCAATTTCATGTATCTCCAGCAGAAGTCACCTCAATAAACACAAGAAGAGCCAGGGATAGGGAGAAGGGAGGAAACTGGATTTGCAGTGCCAGAGGACAAGCCTCCAGCAGCCACTTAGAACTACTGGATGGAAAGTCCTGGGAGACAGTAGAGCATTGAAATATTCAGTGGACTATTTGTCAGCAATGCCCATTTTCGTTGCTCTGGGCAGAAGGTCTACATGGGAGCTCACCAGCTCTGGGACATGCAGGTAATGGCCACAGGGAGCTGAGAAATCTGGGCCAGCATGAAGAGATCCACCTCATACCTCCCTGAGAAAAACACCCGAAGAGAAGATACAACATGATGTCCTACAGAGAAGGCAGAATATCACCTTGTTCCACCTCCTGGTTCCTGACCCAGCTCTGCCCTGTCCTCAGAAGAAAAAAAAAAAGGGACCTCAGCCCAAAGTGGTGAAAAACAAACCATGCAGCAGAGACTCATCCCTCCCTGCCTGGCTTGGCTCAGACTCATTTCACTGGTTTTCAAGCAGAGCAAACAAGTGAACCAGGAAAGCACCTCCAAAACAAGACAAGGAGTAAATTTAGGAGAAAGGGACTTTTCCTAGGCGAGATGCAACGAAGATCTTCTAGGAGAAGACCTCCACGAGCAAAAGCAGCAAGCTTACAGGCACGTTTCCCCCTCCCTGGAGCTGGACGGGTGCCCATTTCGGCAGCAGCCTCAGCTCTGCACGCACATTCCAGCCACCCCAGGAAGAGGGGGTGAGGTGGCACCTCGGCGAGTGGGGCATCAATAATAAACAAGCAGAGGCAGAGCCAGGGAGAGCTGGTGCCCCCACCTGAAACGCTGCCTGGGAGCTGCCACTGCATGGAACCTTTATAATCCTATAAAGCCCTTTTATGCAACTGAGGCTGAGTGAGGTCCCGTAAGGCAACGGTGTCAGTCGGATGCTTTCCCAGCTCCTCACAAAGACCCGGCTGTTCTTTCCAAGGAAATTTCTCAGGAAGGGGGTGTGGGAGGTGGTTTGGGTCTTACACACACCTGACCCACCACTGTTAGGAGTCAATTGCCAGCCAGCACCCCGGGCAGTTGTCTTAGTTTGGATGGAGGGGGCTGAAGGTGTCCACTAGGAAGCTGGAGAGACCCAACACTTCCTTGCAGACAACCCAGGAAGCTCTAACTCCCTGGAAATTCTCTCTATGAGAGCAACATGAACCTACAAAGCCAAGGGATCGTTTCTGCTTCAGACTTTGACCTAACCCTCCATGCACCTTGCCTGACTTCTGCTCCGAGTAGCACACTTGCACTGTCCAGACCTCAAGAAGGACCTGGCTGCTCAGAGCCATGCCCACCTACCCAAGAGGAACCTCTGCACCATCATTTGCACTATTCTCCTTCCAGCTCCAACTGCCATTAGTTTGAAGCCAGGAAACCAGAAGGTTTATCATCAGCAGTTGTAAACAGCAAGGCCTACCCAGTTGGCACATAGACTACTGGTGGCATTCAGCTGCCTTGGTTGGAAACTTCATGTCAGACATTGCTAATTGCTTTGTTCTCCTGCAGTCCAGGCTCAGGAGAGATCCAAACAGCTCCTGCCATCACACATCCCAGGCTTTCCAGGGAGGTGGTGGAGTCATCATCCCTGGAGGGGTTCAAAAAACAAGTAGATGCAGCATTTGAGGCTGTGGTCTAGTGGTTAGGGAGATGCTGGGAGGAAGGTTGGACTTGATGACCCTAGAGGTCCTTTCCAAGCAGAGTGATGCTATGATCTCACACTGAGAGCTGAGCAGCCCAGTTTCACCTGTAGAACCATGGAATTATCACCCTTCCAGAGAGGGAATTCAAGACAGGTCCTACACTCAGCTCATCTTGGAAGCCAAGAGTTTTCATTGCCTTGTCAGCTCACACTTTCACCAGTGCCTCTGTATTCACCATTTTTTTAAGCAGGGATTTTCCTGATGGGAATTTGCCTGCATAGACCTGTGAACACACTCTTGGTGTTGACATGCTCAACAGTTTCCTTTGATGTGCCACCAGAGACACGAGCCAAGGTGATCTGCTTCCTTCCAAGGATCTGCCTCTTCTGCACCCTCCTGGAACGAGAGGCCTGCTGAAATGTTGCATTC